TGGAAAAACATGATTATGGATAGAAATATGAGAATGAAAGCTCAAATTTGCAGTGTTTTCTTTTTGAAACTGGTTCGGCACTCATTTAGTAGCACGAGAATTACTTTGAAGAATGATTACAACAAAATGAACATGAAATTTATTGGAAATCCAATCATGAATTTGAAGACGGAAACGCGCTTTCAGATGTTAGTACTAACGGTTTTGAAACTGTGAATACTTTACGCTAGAGATTCGTCGTTGTCGCTCTTCGGCTTCATCGCGACTGTGCTGAAAAGAATTTGCATTAATCAACGAAAATGATGAATGAGATGAATCTTGTGAACAAGGATAACGGCGCTATTCATTTCACCTAAGACCAAACAATTTCACAAAGAAATACTAGCTGATTCCATGGGTTTCCGATCAAACGATGAGAAATAACTTCAGCCATGTGGATGCGATAAAATTTTATGGTAGTGTGAATCCGTTCTTGATAAGCCGAATCGGACACGGAGCCATACACAAATAGTTCACCTTTTCGACCACATGCATTTCGAGTACAGCCAATGCCTCGATGGCACCTGCTACAGTTGTGGGCGATTTGATGGCCGCCGGTACGTCAAGAAGCGGATGCACTGATGAGCGTCGTCTTGGAGAGGCCACACTTTGAGGTGAAACATCATGGTTGGCTGCATCCGACGCCTGCTTTTCTTGATCGGTACCTGAACTTGCACTACTTTTTCTATTGATTCATTCCAGTCCAGGAAGGATAATTATGGTTGATTAAAACTATTTGTGCAGCAATGATCAGTTGTCGATCGTTTTCCTAGTGAATTCTCTTGAAGATTCATTGGCTGGAGCAATGTGCTAGAGAAGAGCAAAAACCTTCAAGTGAACTCGATTCTTCTTGCTGTGAGGGCATCGTGAATTGAGATGGGGCCGATCGCTTCTTGAGGATCGTTGGAGGAGTTATCCCACTGCTAGTAAACGTTGTACGCAACAATGACGGTAATTCCTCTGAAATCACACACACAATGTCACATTTTTTTGCACGACGACTTCTCACAATTGTCGAACACAAGCAGGAAGTTAGGAACGTACCTCGACGTGTTATGGATTCTTCGTTGAATGTCGACTCATCATAATCTGCTTTTGGTCGACG